AGGGAAAGGGGGAGGGAAGCAAAGAAACAAAGAGCTTTAATCAATAACAGCAGAAGGAAGGTTGTGACCTAATCCTGGAAAGTGTAGAGCGCTTTGTGCTATCACTGAGCAGCTAAAATGTTTGGCACTTTGTGTACCTGAAACATCCTCAATGGGATCAAATCTTTCAGAACTGTTGACATAAGATATTTAGACTTGTCTATTTGTAAAAATGCAAAGATTCCTAAATAGGCTTCAGATTGAGCATTAGTAAGCAAAACTCTGGCAAGATGACTTTGCATCCCTTATAAAGGGTGGGAGTGGTGAATACTGCAGGCTGCATTTCCTAGAATTGTTTTTGGCCAAATACTCATATTTGCAGGCGACAGAATTGTGTATAAATATGGCTGGTTTTGTTTTCCATCACAGATGCGCCAAATGGCAGAAGAATCTTTCCGGAAGACTTTGGCTTTCTAGTTGTTTCCCACACTTCTAAAGCAGCCTGAGATTCAGTGATTGCTTGTAGACCATCAGCTTATGTGAGAATTTCAAGGTAGAATTCTCTGAGCTGGTGTCAGTGTTGTAGCTGGGAGCCTTTCTGTTGATTGGGATCTAGGGAGATCTCAGCCTGAGAGCGGGTACTGCCAGGATGAATCAGCAGTTATCTTCCTGGAAGTTATCGGCAGTCTGTACATCCCATGTGTTTAGCAGAAATCCCACCAGGCTATAATTGTCTGCTTCTGAAACGTTTGACTTCTTTCCAGCAAGGAGTGGTACAGTCATTCCCTGACAGCTGCAATACCTTCTCCCACACATCCATGAAGATCACACGGTGATGTTTTTTCAGCAGTTTTGTTTACTAGATGATATACATACAGAAATATTTCAAGTCTCTTAATGTTTTCTTTGCAGTGAACAAATTCTACTAAGACTAGGAGAAGGGAAGGAAAAGGCAGAATATATCACGTCATGGCATCTTGACACTAAGCCACACATTTTGCATGTCATTTCCCAATTGCTTAGTGTGCATTAAGCAATATGATCTATTTTATTTTATCTTTAAATAATGTCTATGTGTCTAGAGCAGCAAAGCTACAGCTGAGACCCCTGCAGTACTGATTCATTGCCCTTGTTCTGACCTTGTTCTGACAATCAGTTTTATCCAGTTAACTCTAAGGAGGGTAAGTGGATTTGATTTTAAGTTCTGTGCAGAGACTGAAATGTTTTAGCAGTAGAATGAGCTCCTAACTGTAACCATAACTGACAGGTGCTTTCTTGTTCAACTCCCATCTGGCAAAGCCAGTTATGAACTATACAAGCTGATACTGTTTTCACTGCTGACACCCAGAAAGCTGGTTGCTGAGGACCTTCTTCAATTTAGTTTTAGAAGTAAAGCCTCTTCTCAGTCCTGAGCCCATTCTCCCCACTGTTCTTATCTCATGAGGAGTCAGGGTAGTGACATATACCATGAAGAACGAAGGGACTTTGACTTAGAATAAAACAACAATTCCAGAATCGGACATTAAGGGAAGGAAATGCATTAGTTTAATTTGTCAAATAAGGAGTGTGGATGAATCAAGAGGTGGTCTGCACCTTGGGAAAGGAAATACTGTTCCTAGGGAGAAGAGCAGAGCTTCGCACCCATTAGTACTGTGAGTGTACAAGAGGTATCAAGATTCTGGAGTGACTTGCAGTAGTCTTGGAGAAAATGGTAGTTCTTGTAACAAGTACTCCAGACACTATAAGGCACTGAATGGTTGCTAATACTAAAGCCCTTTAGAAGATGAAGTGCTAACCAGCAGAGGAAAAAGCAGTCCCAGAGATCAGATCTACATAGGAAGTTAAATCTGAAATCCGTGGAGGATTCTCACTGGCTCTAGGTCATGTAGCTAAACAGTTCTGTACAAATTAGCTTCACTCTGAGATGCTGCAGCAGCACAGCATAACTTGATGGAAAGCATTAAAAATGTAGAAAAAATGGGAAGTTGTTCCCTATGAATTAAGCATTATATATTCTGCTGAGCGAACCTGAAAAATCTCCAAATATTGTAAAAACATTTAACAAGTTAACTAGTGACTAGCCAAGTGTTAATTTAAAACTGCATTTTATTTGTTATATTAAGTGTGGTCATACTGCTTGTGTCTGATTTTGTTCTATCATTGCTTATTTGGCTTAAAAAAAGGAGTGAATCTGGTTGACAGTAAAGGAAGCTGTTCCCCATCCAGCCTGATTGGAGTAGTTGTGCTTTGGTGTCTGGATATACCAAAGTGGTGACCATTTTCAAACTATTGAGTTGAAAAGATTTTCTGAAAGCTTTATGTTTATTTCTGTAACTTCTACTTGAAACTGATGGTCATTGCTGTAGATAACAAAGGAGAATGTTTAATAAATATTTCTTCATATCTTTAAAAAATTGACATTTGGGACCTACCGTGAAAAAAGTTGCAATAAATGAGGAATGTCTCTCATTTGAAGGGTAGTAGAAAAGTATTGTGAGTAGTAGGCAAGGATAGCAACTCAGTAAGTGTATGGGGAAGAGAAGATTAATATAGGTGTTTACACTTGCAGATTGCTATGCCAAACAAACATTCCATCTCTTGACAGCACCAGTCACATAAGTCCCTGGCAGCCAGGTGTCTTAGGCAGTGACTCATACACTGAATACAGTTCTCTGTTGTTTCACTGCAGATGGTCTAACTTGAAACATGCCTTCCCTGAATCTTCTCCGTGGTGAATGCAACTTGTCTCCCTTCCTGAGGCTGCTTCATTTAGATTTATCAACCTCCGAGCATCACTACACCTCCAAGGGATGCAGGGCTCCTAGCCTAAATTCCCCTGGATATGGCCTTCCTCTGAGTCTGTGCTGTCATAGCAGTAGTGTGTTTCTGGGCTCTAACAGCAGAAATATATCTAACAGGCAGCCAGTGGTGGTAGGAAACAGGACTGCTGTAATTCCTCGGTGCCGTCAAATAAACAAAGGGAATCCCTCTGCTCTGAACTACAATTTCCTCTAATTTGGTCCAAGTAGAGTAGTCTGCATTTATTGATCTGAACTTTCTTATTGAGAGAATAAACTAGGCAAAGTTGGCTTCTTTCTTTCATGTGGGACAAGACTGATTGCAGACTGAGGTCAGAAGAAAATTCACTTAGAGTATTTGAAGAATTAAGATGAGGGCCTTGACTCTTTTTTTTTTAAGCCAAGCAGAACTTCTGAATTCCAGAAAGACCTTTTCATTAAAGTGGAGGCTACTTCTTTTACTTTAATTTCCTACATCAGACAGCAGCATTGTGGATGCCTCAGCATTTGCAGAAATGCAAGGCATGTGATCGCTGAAAAGATTAACAGCCCAGTACTGTCACTTAAGGAAGACTTGAAATTTCAGGTTTTCTCTTTCCCAAACTTTTTTCATCAAGTAGTAGTTTTTTCATCTCAAGATGATCATGCTAAGCCATTCTTTCCCAGTTTCTAATTAAAGGGCTTTTTGGACAAAAGTTGACAAGCTTTGTTTGTACTATATGTGTACACTGAGAGTATAGTGAAGAGAAATAGGATCTTTGTCCTGCTGAAAATGAAGGAACGTGATACGTTTCTCTATGTTATATTCAGGCAGGAAGAATTACTGAGGCAATACCATCATTTCTGTTGTTAACCCATGTCTGTCAATGAGCAGGGCTGAACTGAGGTCCTGTGCCTTTGAGATGGAGTAGATTGCTTCTGCTTTATTTTTACTATTAATACAGATAGACTGAGTGAAGAAAATCTAAGGATAGACTGGAATGTAGAATGTGAATAAGCACAACTCATTGCTACATGAGGCATCACACTGTCTCACTGTATTACACACAGAAGGAAATCAGTGCTGTCTCAGTCCTTCTGTGTTCAAAATGAAGAAGAAGAAAAAAAAAAAAGGAACATACTGTAGTTGGTTCTTCATTCCCTTAAGAAAAAGACTCAAGGATTATATTTAGTTAACATAGTAATTTGGGGGCACTTAGAACTGACAATTCCTTATGGTTATTGCCAAAATCAGGTTCTTCTGGAAAAGTAAAGCCTTCCAGAGAAAATAACATGCTTTGTATTTCCATGTACCCACAGATTTTATATAGAACTGCTCTTCAGATGAACACACACAATGAGATTAGAAACAGAGATTAGAAACAAATAAATTGGCCTTGCAAGAATTAGGAGAGAAGATCTTAATACTCTGAGAGAAGTGTGAGATTTCTAGGTGAGAAGATATTCAGAACTGGAACAAACACTTTTGCCTAGGAGCATGAAGTTTTTTTTTCAAATTGCTCATGTGTTTTAGTGGCAGCTGTTTTGTGCACGAGTGTGGTGGACACCCAATTTAGATGTTTCCATGATGCTATGCAAGGGCTATCCTCTGCATATGGATGTTATGATGCAAAGCATACTTTTCTTAACATCTCAGTGTTTTGTTCTGTTTGGAAATAAAATCCTGAGAGGCTGGTGTTTTTGCATGTATGTGAATTAATGGGTTGTTTTGTGATAGGCAATTTGTTTTAATTGTTTGTTTTTCAGACTATCTAAAACTGAGAAGTTAGCTGTTGGATGGTACTGGAATTGAGCTTCCCCTTTTGGGAGCCTCATCTCCAGTTCACTGAGGTGGTGTTTGTCCCAGTTCAGGCAATCTAGGTTTCTTCCCAGTAGTGCTTTTTTCTACGTTGGATGTGTTATTGGTGCTTATATTTTTATCTGCTCTTTATTGCAAGTTTATAGGTATCCTTTATGGCAAGCCTGTAAGCATCCTTTTTGCTTGTTGATAAGAAAACACTAACAAATATTTTGTTATTTGTCTATAGCATCAGAGAAATAGAGAGTAGAATTTATATTTGTCCCAGAGCTTAAATGAGTATCTTTCCTTTGCTGATGATATCTTCCAAATTTGTCTCACAGAACTGAGTTGGTGTGGGACTGTGTCTCTGTCACAACGTTCCAGAAATTGACACATTTTCTAACATTGTTGAAGTTCTAAGAATGAAGAAGTTGAAACTTGTACCTTTTTTCTGAGTTTTTTTTTTTCCTCACAAGGTACCAGGAAATAAAGCAGTCTGCAGCTACTTTTGCTCACTGTCTAGGAAGATGGCTTCAGGGTGATGGCTTCTGTTACTCACGATTTTCTTAACTCCTACAAGCATGCCTGGTGCTTGGTGATGCATCTGTTAATAAACACCAGTTAATAATAGAGGAGCAGTAGGTTGTAATAGCATGGTGCTGGTAGGAGGAGATATTCTCATCCAGTAAGACTTGTATATGGGGAAAGTGGGTTACTGGGGTAAAACATAATCATCTTTGCCTTGCTCTTTTTTGCCTCTTTCCTCACCGTTGGTCTGTGACTACCTTTGACTATCTTTGCTCTCAGCTGCTCTGCCTCAACGAACCTTTTGTTGAGTGTTTGCTCTAGCAGTGTGTGCATAATGTCTTTCAGATTTTTCATCAGAGACCACATTCACCTTTTGTAATCGGGAATAAACCTGTCAGGCTCACTTCTAAATTGAAATTTGATTTCTTAAAGAAATGTTAATAAATTAAAAAGAAAAAAAGAGAAGAAGAAGAAGAGAAGAAGAAAAAAAGCAGTCATGCTGTGACATGTGAAGAGAATATAAGCTATGGGCTAGGGAGAATATCTTCTCTTTCTGTCTTTGAAGAGAGAAAATACATTCCCTATGGAAAGATCAAAGCACATAAAGTTAATGGATTAACGTTAAAAAAAAACAAAAAACAAAGAACAACAAAAAAAAAAAAACAAAAAAAAACCAAACCTGAAGAAAATAATAGGTTTCAACATAAAAGGGGAAAATAGACCAGTGTTTTTTGCTGGAGATACAGTTAGATGGCTAGCTAAATACCTGAGATTATATGTTGTAGCTTTTTGTAGCTAAAGCTCTCTGAGTGGGAGTAGTGATTTCTTTCCTCGTGCCTCCAGACTCCACTTCTGTGGTGTCAATGTAGCCTGTGGGTTGTAATCCTCTTCTGCAGCAGCTTTCTGTGCTGCTGAACTACAGACTAATGCATCCTGTAATGCAAGCAGACCCTCTTAGGATGACTGTGTGTAGTAACTCTTAAAGTCACTTCAACAGCCTGATAAGGTCCTGCTAGAGTACAAAATACCTGGAGTTTATGAAAGGAGAAAAAAGAGAGAAACCCTCCTCATGAATTAGGGAATGTTCACGTGTGATGAGCACTGGAAAAACTTCTTGTGATGTAATGAGCAGGCAAGAGACCTTGACCTGATTGATATTCAGAGTTCTTGATAACAAGATACAAAGAAATATAGAAGCAGTAATTGAAAATAGCTAATTTAAGCAGTATGTAAAGAACTGTCAGGGTATTGAGGCTTTTGCCAACTCTGGGTATGAGGCCCATGCTTCTTTCACCTTTTCAAGAAGAATGTCAGTGCCATAGTCTTTTTGTATCATGAGATTCATGAGATTATGCGCTTTATGCCTGGCATCTGGTTGTATCTTTTGCTTTTAGAATCTGAAATAGATATTTAGGGTTGTGGAGCATAACCATGCTCTTCAGCAATTGATGACTGTCAGTTAGATTCTGGACCTTACAGAGATTTGTGTCTATAAAGGCTAGAAGACTGGCACCTTGTAGTTAGCAGATTTCCTTAATTCCTTCAAAAGTAATAAAATAGGATGTGGAATAAAGGCTTCATTTATTTATTTAACCACCAATCTTGGTATAGCAGCCAAGTATCTAAACTTCTGAGCATCTGAAACAACAGTTTTCAGATTGTATTTTATCATTTACTTCTACAAAGTAGTAACCACAGTGGAGCCCTGCCAGCACATGCTATTCTTGCCAGGCCCAGGTAACTGACCTGCTCTGTGAGTGAGAGGGAGTGATACTCCCAAAGACTATTCACAGGTACAAAGTGCACTGTCCCCCTTTCTTCCACATCCTTCTGGCTCACAAAGTTTGTAGTGCTTTTATTTCCAATGTTGACAGTTTTACCACCAATCATTTTCATTTCTGTGCTGATGCATGGAACATGATAACATACCAAACACTGCTACGGCATGGTGCTACTATGGGATGATGCTGGCATCACATGTAATTAGCCATTTTAATCTCTTCTTTTAATAGCTGGGGAGAAAACACATAGAAACTCTGAACAAAACAACTTCAATTTTCATTTGAAAAATGAAATAAAGAATGATTCATTCTAAAGCTGTATGCTCCAAAGGAGAAGATTTGAATTATTAACAACATATCTAAACGTGATGGGTGCTGACACCTTTATCTCTTATTTTTACTGCTATGCATTTCTTCACAAGGGGTGAGAGAATTTACACTACAGGAAGTGTTAATGGTTTCACGCTTTCTACCCATTTTTAGCTGTCTAATTTATGGAAAGCCATTACAAGGTGAGTCATTGCTTTCACAGGATTAGTGTGGCTGAGACAGAGTTTTAGGCGTTCCTTCATTTTTTATATTTGCTTGAAAGGAACAACAGATCCACAGTGAAACAGAGTTCAGAGGCACTGCTCTTCTTGATCATATACAAATATTGCAAGAGATGCTCCTTGTCCCTGTAAGCTAACAGCTGGAAAAAAAAAAAAAACAGTGATAGAGATTCATCTGCATTACAGACACTGTAAGTTGAGGTGTCTCATTATTCAGAATTTGTGCTTAATTGGATGGGAGTTAAATAGTTGCAAAGATAATTACAAATAGAAGCAATAATGGGAATCCCACTATAAACAACTCTTCTCCTGCAATAGCTGTTGCAGAAGTGCATTTACTCTCTTCTTGATCTCAAGAGATTTGGTTAGATGTTCACAAGTTACAAAAAAAAAAAAAAAAAAAAAATCAAGCATAAGTATCAGCTTGCCCTGATAGTGAATAGGAAGAGTAAGTTTTCCATAGGCTGAAATACATTTGGGTTGTCTGTACTGTCAATGTAACAAGACCAATTCAGCGTGTAGAATACTCAGGCACTGAATAAGTTGTAACTCTCATAGCCAGTGCTCTTTGTAAGGTCTGTTCAGTTTAGAAAGCAGTCTCCAAGAGGTAGTAACAGATTAATTTTAAAGAAAACCTGGAAATGAATCTCTTCTTAAACTGCTGTCCTATAAACCTCTTAACTTATTGCAAAAAGCATGTGTTACCTATGAGGATTCATTCACCCAATTAAAAACTCTTAAACATCCGTGTCGTTTTTTCTGCTACAGATTTTCTTTTTTTTCTTCTTTTTTTTTGGTACAAATCTATCTTTGGAGGTTGTTTTAGTTGCATGCAGATTAGAAGCCCGTATCTCACTGCATAGCACATACCAGGTAGACAGACTATCCATATATAGCTTCAGAGTTGTCCTTGCTGGGAAGTCTGTTGTGCAGTTGGTCAGTGTGGACCTCCTGCTGGATTAACTTAAAACTACTGTCCTAAAGAAATGAATTTTTTATTTTGAGGTGTTATCTGTAAACAATAATGAAGTGAAGTATCACTAGCTCTCCCTCTTTATTTTGCACTGGAGAGTTTGTGGGGAGTGAAATTGGGGAAATGATGTTACAAGCAATTCTTTGTTTAGAATTCTTTTTCTCTCCACAGTTTTATGTTCATCTTTTTTTCTCACATCAATTGTCCTGACCTAATTAAAAACAAATTCGTAATGGTGCTTGAGGATTGGTATGTTTGCTGTATAAATTCTTAAGCAGATATTGAGTTGCTCTAAACTGAAAGAACTGTGAAGCCACAAGCATTTTTTTCAACTGAAGATCGTAATTTTATATATAAAGTATCATTTTTTTTTTCCCCTAGGGTTATTAAAATACTTGGAAAAAATTAAGACCATAAGTGGAATATAAAATAGTATGCATAAAGTGGGCAAATGGTAAATTACTGGTGTTTGTTAAGTTGGAGATCATGTTAACTGCTGTACATGTAAGTCTGTGTGTGCTGCCATTCTCTTCTGAAAGGGATGTTATAAAATAAATCCCGAATGCCCCTTAAAATGTATCATCTAATTGATCATATGAGAATGGTTAGTCAGTAGTGTAGGCATATAGAAAGTTCATTCATATTCAATCATCCACTTTATTTCAGCTTGAAGTTAAATGTTCTTCAACTGCTATTTTACAGTAAGAGTTTGTTCTGCAGATAGAAGCTCATTGGAACTGCTGTTTGTAGGAAAATTCAAAGTACTCTGATTATTGAGCATTGAACAGTTTCACCACAATCCTCCAGGAGGGTTTTCTCAATGTGTTAGGTCTAATTATTGTTATTCACTGGACGTACGGATAGATTTTCAGGCAAAAATATTTGGAATTTTGTTCTAAAGTTAAATCAACACAAACATTTGAGTTGGATGCTTTTAGTTGTATTTTCAAAATGCTCCATGTTTTTCATGTTCTTATTTCATTCAAGGCAGTTGATACATAATGCAGAAGAAAAGAACAGAAGCAGCTATGTCCTTTGAGAGCTGAATTATTAGCTGCTCCTTTGTTGTATCACTTTTACTGAAAATGAAGCCTCTTCCTCTACCAGAGAACTATGATGTGTTAGAATAACAAGAGCAAAACTAGAGGCTGAAAAAAAAGTGTCTGGATGCAAGTCTTTTAAATGGAGCCTGTGCTCTCAAGGAAGTTCAACTTATGTGACTGCATCTTCACTATTCTGCTAAACGTGGAGGAGTGTTGAAGACCTCATAGATACGAATTCCTAAATGTTGCTGCAATATCATTAGCTAGGTAGATATGAGACCCAAATTACAGTTTCCAGCTGAGGGAAGGTCTCTAAGGGAAGCTCAGGAGATCTTGCTTACTGTCTCCAGCCATATACAGGGATGGTCCAGGTTTCACCACACTAGCAAATGTTCTCTATGCTGTCTGATGTTTACTAGATGTGGAAGGGTGGGGAAGGGCAGTGGATGTGGCTGGAACTGGGAACACTACTGGTCTTGCAAGATGGTAAAGGAGGTAAGCTGGTGGTATTTGTTTGACTGGGGAGTAATGTAGCAATTTTGGGCATGAATCCAAGCTTTATTGGTTTGAGTCCTCATGGAACAGTTAATAATATAGTCTGCAAAGGATTTTTTTGTTTTTTAATTAATGAAATTGTAAGCTAGGAAAGAAATGAAATAATTCTGAATATTGCTGATGTTTTAGACAAGTGGAAGGGATAAGATTCAGTCTTGGTACCAATAAAAAAAACCTCCTTGGGGACACTCACCACAGAAATGGCAGGAAAACACAAAATTGAGAATTATGACAATATATCATGAAAATTTGCTCTACAAATAAGCCAATGGATTGAGTATTTGTGCTGCTTTGATGCTATTTTTTTTCCAAGCAAGTTAATCTAGAAAGGATAAAAATAAAGCAAGCCATTACTAATGGACTTTTTTTTTTTTTTTTTTTTACTGGCACCTGTTACTGAATCTTGTGCTTCATTCTGTGATGTGTAAAACAAAAATGTCTAAATGAATCCAATTCATATCTTCAAGGTAATAACTCCCAAGTTAATAAAAATAACAATTAGAAGACGCAGGTCTGCATCTGCTTTCTTTTGTTCAACTCAGTGCATTTGTTCATACAAGGCAGTCAGAATAGTTGAATGTCTTCTTTATTTGTTCCCTTTTTTTCCCTTAATGAATTAAGCAAACGCATTCTTTATACTTGAATATCGACAATTGCACCAGAAGACATCTAAAACGGTAAGGAGGAGTTATACCCTACTATGAGAAGCCTTTGGACATGGCCTGATACAACGTGGAGTTGTGACAGTAATATTTTACTATAATTACTTTCTTAAAATGACAGATCACTGCAATTGCTATCATTTTTTCAGTGTGAGTTAAACTCAGTGTGTGCAATTCAGGCATATTCATTTGACAGAATGCTCTGAATTTGCATGATTAGACAGCTCTTCATATTATGCAGTTCATCAAGGCATTTTTCCCAAGTAAAATGCCTGTGCCAAATTAGCCACTTTTTATTTTCAAAGGTAGGGGGAGAATAATCTTACTGTGTTCAAGAAAAGTCTCTGAACTGTCTGCACATACATTCAGGTGGGTAGGTAAATAATATTTCTAGTTAATTCCAGACATAAAATGGCATGTTGGAAGATTGAAGGCTGAGCTGAAGTTCTTAAAAACAAACAAAAAACCAAAATGAAAGTACAAAATGATACAACAAACTTCTGAAATGAAGGCATTCTCAGAATATCTACCAATAACCAAGCATCCCAGAGTGTAACAATTTAAAAATGGAGAGAACAGCTCTGATTTGCAGTTGTCTAATATGTGCAGGCACTAAAATTTTTCATACTCACAAGTGTTTTTATTCTATATAGTCTATGTTTATTCTACAGTTGATTCAGTCTATTCTACAGATGTGCTTTGTTTGGCCCTCGCTTATGGGCCCTAAATCTAAGTATTACAAAACGTACTTGCAAAGATTGATGGTAATGTCTGTTGCTATAAGCTTAGCTTGAATTAGAAAAAACAAACCACCAAAACATCTGATGCAGATCTCTTTCAGGAAAAGCAAACAAATAACAACCAACAAAAAACAACAGACAAAATTGAGACAGACAAACCTGTTTCAAATCTGAAGTAGAGGTCAGTCCCGCCTGGAGATAAGGTAATGGCAAAGATGACCTCCTGAGGCCTTTTTCAGGTAGATCTATCTTCCATTATTCTGTTAAAATAAAAAAGATAGTAAAACATCAGTCAAAAGGACGTCTCTTGCCACACATATTCCCAATTCTGTCAAAATCTGTTGCTCACATTGGTAATTAACCTTGTGTGGCTTTGCCCCACTTCCCTTTTTCTTAGTAGAAAAATTTTAGCTATCAGTCCAAAGCCCAACACGTTCATACTGTGACATAAAATCTAATTTAACTATTGGCTAGTTAACTAAGGGAATACCTTATTTATATGGAATGGCTAATGCCACATATCTGTTGTGCACCTAACACATGCCACTCTTTTTAGCCTACCTCTTCTATCTGTGATAATTATAAACCGTGACTATAATTACATCCTTTTAAAGCACTTACAATTTATTAAGTTTTGCTACATTCAGTGGCCATGTTGGTTATCTGGCAGTACAACGTTTCTGGGGCTGTGCATTGTCAGGTCACTAATCTCCCTCTTGCACTCCAGCCCATCAGCCTCATGAGAGTGACTCACTTTCTGCGAACCTCCTGTTGCTTAGTAGCTGTAATGTGAAAATGCTGCAAAAGTAGTTAGGAGGTAAAAGAGGAAGAGGGCTGGGAGGCAGGGTGATCCTGGCTGCTTAAAAGCACATCATTTCATCTAATTAGGGGAAGAATTTTCCCTGTTTTCTCCCTGGTACATGAATTTACATGCTCTGCTCCACTCTGTTCTCTGCAGTATCCAGTAGTGTTAGTTATGCTTGCAGCCATTTACTGTCAAGCATTTATTTATTTACTTCTGTGTCCCTCTTTCTCTTTTAATAGTATCTCTTTGTTACCTAGGGAACGGTTACTGCCATGTACTTTTTTTCCTCTTTGGAACTCCATGATGCCATGCTCAAGGTTCCCGGTACTACAGTGCCTAAAGTACTGTACATCTGAAACCTGTTGTGCCAGGCCTACATTGCAGTACTGGCACCAGCACAATGACTCATGCAGAAAACATGCAGGAGCCAAAGAATAATGAAATAATAATAATAGCTCTACCAGTGCATTTAATCTTGTTGTGGATAGGCTGAATTTGAGGTAGCCAGGTGGATTTAATTCCCAGTATTTAGTTGGGATAGTTGTTGTATAGCTTTTTCAGCAAAAAGGAACTCCAGAAATAATACTTGCCAAACTTTTGTATCTGTATCCCACTCAGAATTGTAGAGGGGTAATACCTTGCCTTCCAACGAATGGAAAGACGGAGAGAGCTTAAAGATTGGCTTTGTGAGTAGGAAATGATAATAGTTATTTTTTTTCTAAAGCCCAGTGAGAATGCTATGCAGTAATTTACAGGTCACTAGAAAGTCCTAAAGAATCCTAGGCTTTAGCGTGGACATTTCAAAAGACAGGCATAGGAAGCATTCTCCCTCCCAAAAAATTATTCCTTAAAAGCAGGGAAAGCACGTCAGTCTTACTACTCCTTGCTCTTCTGTATCAGAGCTAATTTATACCTGACTGCAGCCAGCACAAATTACAGCAGTTTCTACTGTGCTGGTACGTGAGTCAGTGAGTAGGGGGGGTGACTGAGTCAAACTCAGCCTAGATCCTCTCCTCCCACTCCCTACCCAGCTGCTGCCTGTTTACTCCTTTGGGTTTAGCCCATGATCCTGGCAGCCTACACAGAAAGTTAGAAATAGTGGATGCTCTTACTCCTCTGCCTGAGAACAGAGGTTTAGTCTAAATGTAGTGCACCATGTCAGCGTGAACTTCAAGTTCATCAGTACTGTTCAGAGATGGGACTTGGATATTTGCTTAAGGATCTAGAGGCTGAAAATATAGTTTTTTGAATCTGGATTATCTGGCAGATCAAGATGTTTAGTGTTATTGTCTTGTTCAAATGTACACTGGCTATAGACTCCTGTATTTCTGAAACATTTGTTAGATATTTACGTGTTGCCTCTATAGCTTCCAAGGCAAACTGTGTTTCCATCTAATATGGAGGGTAAAACAACAGCAATGATCCTGACTGCATTTTCAGTGTATTTATCACTTCATTCTTGAGTTGTTTCAGTCACCCAGGCACTGAGCAAAGCTTTGTTTGGTTATGTTTCCTCTTCCCATAGCCTAGAATCCAACGTTGTTTCAGTTATCCAGGATTTGATTTCTCTTTTGAAACTTTTCTTTGTTTTTGGATTTTGTTTGTTTTTCGGTTGTTGTTGTTTGTTTTTTAATACCCAGGGGCAAAGCTGAAGGCTCTCAAAGGGATTGGATTAAGAAGCAAACACAAGGAAGGGGCTGATGGAAGATAAGGATCTTTAACTAGAATCTGGTACTTTTTATAAGAGCAGTTTGTTTATATACACCTTCAAATTTATTTGAGATTCAGCTGAGTGCTGAGTTGTTGAAGTATTTTTCTTCTACCAATTTGGAGTAGTAACCATTTTGTGACAAAAGCAGATTGAAGAGCTGATTTTTGCACCAGTTTTATTTGGGAAAAAAGAAAGTTTTTCAGCAGATGAAGAGAAATTTTTGTAAGCACCTGAGACCTGGTAATTCTGAAATCTTGTAAATAATGGTATGGTCAGTCCTATCTAAGAAATGAAGAGAATACTTCCTTTGAAAACTTGTCTTTTAGTGCAATGCAGTCTTTTGATACATTGTACTGAATGTGTTTTTAGTTATTAACTATAATTAGTATTTCATATTATGAGTTTTCTGGTTTTTTTACTCATCTTTTAATTCCAATCTAGAAGTAGTTTGATGCAAATTAAGAAGTTAAACAAAATTTAGGAGGCAATAAATGATCAATGTATTTTTACACAATAGTGTTAATGTCAGTCTAAACATCATGTTAAAAAATAGGTAGGATAATTTTTATACCTGTATTTGCTTTAATTCCATAATTAAAATAAATCTTTTTTTTAGGATAAAGACTGTAGGTAGTTTCAAATAATCAAATTATGAGAATTAATCCTTTTCTGAGAAAAAAAAAAATACCTGAACGGTATGGAACTACAGTTGCTGGTAACATTTTCTTCAATACAGGAAAGTTACCTCAAAAGAAGATTGTTTTCTTTAATTACTTCAGTGCTCTGTATTTAAGTATATATATTTGTAGTCCTTGTAGCTGTGAAATTTTGGAATAACTCATCACTTGACACTAGCATATATTAGACAGTTGGCTTTGGGGTGTTATCCTCAATTTTAATTTGTGAACCTAAAATGTGTATGCCAACACCCTGCTTCATCCTTCAGGCAAATCTGTCTGACTGCTCTGCTTGGTCAGTGGTTAACACATGAATTAATATCCCTGCATTGTGTTGACCTCATCTTAAGCCTCAGCCTTTGCAAAAGATGACAGCAAGGGGAGAGGATCTAAAAAATCTGGAGTGTCAATATCTCAGAAAAGGAATCTGCTTTGTGTTACTTTTTTGACTAATAGAGTCCTCACCTGAGTCACCACAACTGGTTGTTGTGAAGACTGCAATTTATGAAAATTATGGAAATAATGCATCTCTTTCTGGCACATTTTTTGTCACAGAAACCATTTGCCTGTACTAATTGGCTTAAGAATTCAGGTGCTTTGGGCCTGAGAAAATAAATCAGTTATTACTAGCGTAACAAGTGATGATCAAATTAAAGATGATGTCTTAAGGTTCCTCTGTTTTTCCTCCATGTGTGTATTTTGCACACCATATGGTCAACACAGTCATAATAAACTGATGGGAATATTTAATTAAATGTGTTCCCAGGACTTTAAATGTAGGGTATTATCTTGAGCAGCATAAATATTTAGTAACAAGGGAGAGCCCTTGTAGGATATTGCCAGTAATACATAAAAATCACATTTGGGAACAGAAATGTGTTCAAAGCAGAACTTTCTTCACCAAATTAACGCATCTCAAAATGCTAATTTCTTTTATATGTGATTATTTTTCTTACCACCACTATTATTCATTACTATGCAATTATTACAAATAGCATGAGAAATCATTTTAAAATTGATAGTCCCAGAATGCAGTGAGCCTAAGTTAGCCTATAGCCATTTAATTGGCAATGATCATGTTTTTACTGAATAAGGAAGGTCTCAGGTGGAACACTGCGAAGCAGAATTAAGAGCAGCATCTTCATTAAAACAGTGACTGTTCCCTGGCAGTTAGGGAAGCCTATTTGGTCTTGTTAGGAGTTGATTCTATTCCCCCTGAAATTTCAGAGAACTGGAAACACCCTTCTATAACATTTCCATCCCCAGGTATGCAAATGTCCGTTAATTCAGTAGAGACACCTCTCTGTCAACAGCCTAATTAGCTTTTCACTTCGTCCATTCTATAGTATCATTACCTTCTTTACTTCCATAGAGCAGCTCTGTTTCCCTGAGAAAGTGAGATTAGCAGAATGAGAGCAAGGATAAAATTAACCTGGAGCTGGGGAATAGTGACTGGAGGAGAGAAGATCAGCTAGAAATCTGAAGGAAATACAGTTATTGGGCAACAGGTCTGAAACTGAAGTTCCTTATCAAGTGCATGCATCTCTGAACTCAGTAGGTTTCTAATCAGTGTTATCTAACCAGGGTTTTCTTTTGAAGAGGCCTGTCACCTCACAGGCAGAGAGCATGACAATTTACTTGTAAGAGGCTGAGAACCTAATTCTGCAGGACACTTATTTGATATTTTTGTTATTGTTGGAAGTAAACTGGCCTTTTTTTTTCTGAACCTCTCCAGGCATAATTAGTGCATGATTCTGAAAGAGTTACAGAATCTGACGCTCTTACTTTGTTAAAGGAAAAGTAAAAATTTTGGCAGGAGGTGCTTTGGTGGATAGCTAATGTATCCAGATTTCTAGATACACACAAGAACACGTACTTTCCCAGACAGAATCATAGCAGCCCACCCACTGCATCAGCCACTATTATTGTTAAGTTTGTACAGGTAAACGTAAGCTGTGAATGGCCTGAGGAGCTAAAGATGGCATGTAAATAGGTTAGCACAGAATTTTAGTTTGGTTAGGTTGGGTTTTGTTGGGACTGTGTCAAACTGCACATAGTTAAACTGATTGAAAAACTTGCTCTGGTGTCGGCTAAACTGACCTACTGTGGAAATAAGATCCCATTTGAAAGAATCTAATTGTCAGAAAACATGGAACTCGCAAATCCTTCCAGGAAGGAACATGAGGTAATGACCTTAAGTTGCGTCAGGGGAGGTTTTGGTTGGATATTAGGAAAAAGTTATTCTCAGAAGGAGTGGAAATGCACTGGAATAGGTTGCCCAGGGAGGTGGTAGATGCACCTTCCCTGGAGGTGTTCAAGAACCATGGAGATGAGGCACTGAGGGACATAGTGGAGATTGGTTGTTGGTTAGAACTGATGATCTTTTTCAAGAGGTCTTTTTCAACCTCAATGACTCTATGAAGCAGAAGACTGTCAATGTGTTCAGTAGAAATTCTCCTTTGCAAATTATCAGTAGAAAAATTATTTTACCTATTGCTGCACGAGAATAAATAAAGCAAATTCAAAACTAACAGCAAACTCCCAGTGCTGTAGAGTTCTATTATTTCCTTAGAGATCATCCCTGTCTTACAGCTTTCAGATGCATCTGAATTCACAAATAAACACTGCACCAGGGACAATGGTGAGCCATTTGTTTCTACAGTTACTTCACTGAAGTAGTAGTCACTAAAATAGTGTATGTCACTAAAATAATGTATGAATTTGCACATGTGGCATCACTGTTTTAGAATTAAGTCACAACAGTACATTGCTATGGAAGTGGTCTGATTATTATTATTAGGTACAGTTTGTTTTGTTTTAATGCCTTTTGACAAACCCCACTTACGCAGACTTGCCCAAATGGATAAATGCCTTTTGGAGGAATAAAAATGCAAGAACACCATCTTAAATATACTTAAGTTTGGCTACAACAGCAAATATGTACTACAAAAATACAGCACCTGGACAGTTGGAAAAAAAAAAATAAAGGGGAAGAAAAGCAGTGCAATTTCCTATCTTATTAGAATGACAGGGAGAAGGGCTTGAGGAAAGAGGAATCAGACTGCGATTTATAGAAAATTGCTTCCTTCGTTTGACTTGTTATAGCAATCATTAGTCAAATCTGCTGCTGCACTGATTCACTTTCATTGCCCCCTCTGCTGAGCTTTGCCAGCTGATACCAGCTTAAGGTGTCTGATATAATTCACACTTTCTTCTTGCTGTAACCCTTAACGATGTGTGTTTGTCACTCTTTATGGTCAGAAATGATTCCTGCTTTTAGAAGTAGTTTGTGAACTTTGGTTTGTGTTCAGTAACTGAAAAAGAGGGGAGCAGGGGGATTGTAAGGAAGGGGCCTAGTCTGCTTTGCTCTGCCTTCCTGTACCACTGAGCAAGTCATCTAATCTTGTATCTCAATTTCCCAGGCGTATGCAGGGATAATAGCTTTTCCTTTGCTTCTTGCAGTGATTTTAGATAATGACTTTGAAGGCCCCACAGTTGATACTCCGTAAGTGTTTTGGGTGTGTGAAACGCTGCTGAAAACAGCTCTCGAAGTTCTGATGTAAACCATACCAAAGCTTCTCTCATTTGTGGTGATGGCTCTGCATCATGCGTCTTCCTTCCCTAATCTGACTAACACAAAAATTTCTCCTATATAGTTCATACAGATGAAGAAAAATAAAAGTGTATGTCCGTCAAATGTTCCCAAACGTTAGATACATGGTCATCCTTAATATTCTCTCAACTGGTGCTGGAATGGAGAAAATAATGCTAGATACTTCAAATTTTCTCTTCATTAGAGCTGCAGCTCCCTTTTACTGTTAGAGCTAAGTAGTAAATTGCTTCCAAAACATGCAGGTGAGATGAGAAATTCGTCAGTCAGGAATTTTACCTACCAGCTTCAGGCCCTGCAAGTAACCAGAAGAACTGAGGAAGTCTGAGTCAGCTGAGATCATTTTACTGAATCACTAGGACAGTGCCAAACATTTCTTCATAGATGTCTGTGTACATACACAGATCCAGCACCTGCTTTCAATTGGTGAGATTGCTCATGTGCTAACTGGCATGCTGGGAAGCAAGGACATAACTGATGTTACATAAAAGAATGACCTACCTGCAGAGCCTCTGAGTAAAAGGTTTGGTAAGAGTAGATTTGCACTGAAGGCAGCACCCAGATCTGGTTGTATTAGATTTTACATAATGAATTAAGATGTGGCAGTTAATTACAAGCTTGCTGTACCTTAGCAGAAAGATTCTCTTTGGTAGTTAGCTTAGCTCCTGCTGGATAATAAAGGCAGATGTAAAAATACACATTTTTGTTATTCAGAAAGCAGAGAAACTCCAAGAAATACAACTGAAACAAAATTAGATGATAGCAAGGAGCTGGAAGTGAACAAACTGGGAAGTATCTACTTTATGCTATATCATTGTAAGGCCAGCCTGGGAAGTATATCTTAAAAAAAAAAAAAAAGGTGAAAATTACTTGGCAGAAAAGGTATACGGCAGCATACAGATATGACCAAGAACACTGTTGCATTTATAATCTCTGCTTATTCGTGGAAACATGTGGTTAATAACACTTCTTCTTATCTATTTCACTTCTGTAGTGTACAGAACGCTAGCAGTCTGTAGCACAAGAGGAGATCTTTGTTAGCATTATTAGTAGTGAATATCATGACACATTTCCCTAGAAAAAAATACCTGTTTGTGTTGACTGAGAAAAAGCCAATCTACTTCCTTGCTGAAAAAAATATTAACAATTTAAATTTTTATTCAGTTGTTGTACTAAGAACTCCTTTTGAAGTCCATAATGCTCCAACGTGATCATGCTTTGCATTATTTGGTCTTGTATATGTTATGGTCAGATTTTGATCCTTTGTGACAACAGTGTAAACTTGGAATAAATCCCATTACAGGTGGCAGCAGCATCCGGTCTTTTCTGTTTTTAATAGTGACTGTGAGATCCTCAAAGCATGAGCAATTTGTGTACAGTTCAAATTATTTTCTTTCAACTGGAGCTCGATGATGACATTCTCACATGCAGTAAGAAAAAGAAAGTGTAAAATGCAGCAGTGCTCCAGGTCTGCTGCAAATAGCAGCTCCATCACTGGGAGTCTGTGTGAGGGTCAGAATTATCTGTAGGGATCTCAGCCCAGAGGCATTGCTGTCAAACTGAATTTTGCAGCTCAAGGTACTTTTAGAGAACTGACTTTAGGTGCCTCTAGGCACTTTGACAGTGTCTTAATGGGACCATAATTCTAGCAGCATTAATCAGACCCTAAGATGTAATAGGGAATGATTCATAGAGAAACACTGTGTTCTCTCAGTCCATCACTGTGGGAAGGCATTGATAATGCATGAGTGGGATTTGTGATATTTTTCAGTTCACATGCTTAGGGATTTCCTCTGCAGCTTCAGGAAAGGTTTTATTTCCCTGCAGGAAGCAGTGGCAGAGTCCCTTGAAAGGAAAGGTGAGGTTTCACACATAGAAGTGTGGGTGTGAATAACAACTGGCTAAGGCTGACAGACCCTGCTCAGGCTGGCGGGGTGTCATGGCTGCATAAGCTCATGTACGGAGACAGACCTGATCTTTTGCATTCTAAAGGACTTTTGTTCTGTCTGAAGTTGTTTTAAAGCAACCTTGGGGAAAAACATTGATACTTAAAAAGGGGATGATGCTTATAAGATCAAGGCTCTTTTAACAGCATTGCTGCAAATATTAATCTAGTGTTCAAGGCTAGCATTCAAGCCTGGCTAGGTGTTCTGCTGGGGCATTTGGTGACCACCAGTGTGTTGGTTAAGCATTGCTAAGTGCTTTAGATGACTAATGTCACACTGTGTGCAATTTTGACCCACTTCCTCCTCCATTTTTTTCTCCTTTCCTTTTGTTTTTCTTTACTTGGTTATCCTCCGGCCTGACACTGAGGATCAAGGGAATGCATCATTCGGTGTGCTGAGGAAGAAGATGGGGTTGCAGTCCTGGCTCCTATACCAGCAAGAGAGGCAAACAGTTTGATATGGTTCTAACAAAATGTATGAAAATGAATTGCAGAACATGGGAACATGGGACATCAGCGTTGTGATTCAGGAATGCAGAAGGGGTGTTGTCACACAATGGGCACCTCCTTTCAACTTATCCTAAAAAAGGAGTAGTGAATAAATGAAAATAGTTTCAGACACTTTTTATGTTCTCTGGTTTTAATCTAGGTCTGCTCCAGCTCCTACCCAAGGACCCACCGGTGCTGGAGCTGCAGGACCACCTCCTGCTACCAATGTGTCAAGTAACAAACGGCTGCAGCAGACGCAAGCCCAAGTGGATGAAGTAAGTGGCTTCACATGATAAGTTGCTCACCCCAGGGCTGCTCATGTGATTGTTTTGTTGTTTTTTTTTCTTCCTTTAAGATGCTTGCCTCACTAGTGATCCAGCAACTCCTTGTCTGAAGACACTGGGTCTAGGAAATGATACTTACCAAAGAATAGCATTTATGAGGAGGCAGACTGTGCTCAGAACATCTGTTGTACTAACGTACCAGTCACACTTCTGCAGAATGGATATGGACATCAGTACTGTTTCAGGAATTTGTTCCAGATGGTCATGTTAGGAGGAGATGTCATAGTGAATCAGCTTCTTTAATGTATTCCTGTATTCCTAAAGTTTGAATGCTAATCTCACAGGCTGTTTCATACAAACAAACCATTGGCCTCTTGTTCATACAGGCTTTGAAAATTGTGCTGGTGAGGGCTGTGTTCATTAGTCAGAGCTGTAATGATTAATCATTACAATTCACCCCCGCAGAAGGGCACCCACACATGACATCACAACATCTTCAACAAGTCCTTACTCCTTCTGGCTGACCTTAGAGGGATATGTGCCTATTTTGGCATGGCTTCTTAAATTATTTAATATAATATGCAGAAAATTCCTGTTCCCTAACCTATAAAGTCTGTGTCCAACTAATCGCTGTGGAAATAGGAATAAGTGAGGATACCACTGCTTGTGAGTATCATCCCTGAGTGTACCAGCCATCCAGCGCCAGCTGTAGCATCCCTGCACACTTGCTGTGCACATTTGCTGTGCTGGATATTTAGCATAGAGTTTTGCTGAACCCCTGCAGGCACTTAAGTAACTAATTGCTGACTGCCCATAAGCAAATTACCAGGGCCTGTATGACTCTCTTATGCCAAGTCAATAAAATACAAGCTAGAAAATGCATAAAGGCTTCTATTTTCAAAAGCTCAGGATAAACTAAAAAAGACCTCATAACCTGAACTCAAATGCCTTTCTGAAGATGAATTAAATACACCTGTCAAATTGAGCTTTGTCTCTGAGAAGTTTTTTTGCTGAAGGTCTGAACCAGACTCTTTCTCCTCCCTTTTGCTGATGCTTGGAGTTGATCACAAGAACATCCTCTGTATACAGAAATGCCTAAGCTCAGTTCTCTCATTATTACCAATTTTCACTTCAGTGTAACTTCACTGATGTTAATTGAGTGCCTCTTGAAGTAGGGAAAAGAGTATTACATTTCAACATCAGTCGAAGGTCAGAATAATTGAAATAAACTTCTTGTTCTGAACATACTACATCATGATGGTGCTGTAAATGTTTATGTGAGTGACAACCAAAGTAACTGTCCCTGGAAGATGACAAATAATTGCTAGTTATTATTTAAAAAGCGTGATGCAGGTCAGACACATTGGGCTCTTCAAACAAATCAATGGATAAGGCTCCAGTGAGGCTAGTGAAAACCCACTCTGTGTTTGAGATAATCTGTATTCTGATACTTTTCACTCAAGCCAATGCAAGTTTGTCTTCTTGTGCTAACTAAAAATTTATTTTGAAAGAAACTCTTATCCAGTAGGAGAGCGTGGAGTGTGTAGCTCTTGGATTGGAGAATTATACAGATAACAGTGAGGGCCTGAATTTTTTTCAACTCCAGTTGGAGAAGAAGGCAGAGATTGGTATGAGCTAGTTTTGAGTGGCTAGCATTTGGTGAGCAGATACTGTTCATCATTTTGAATGTAATTGTAGGAATAGCCAAGGGACAAAAACACTGCTAGACTTTCTGTCCTATGAAGTCACTGGGTATTATAGCACCTAAGGTTCTGATCTGTGAAGTGTTCATTTGATGATCTTCCTTGCTAGATCTATCTTGGCCATTTTCTTTTTATGTCTTGTGGGAAAGTAATCTGTAGGTGGCAGCAAACACCACGGCAGAGCGCACTGGCTATTTTTCTGCTCCAAGCACTGGAGTGCTGTGCACTGCACTCCAGATGCGAACCCTAAACTCAGTGGTCACAGCTTTGATTGAGAGCACATTTTTGACATTATTAAAATGATTGGCAGTCCTCTGAAATCAGCATTTCAGCTATATCCTGTTGGATTTTCTTCTGTGATTTCTCTAGGCATCCCAGATCTTATTTTTTAAGGCTTAGATCTTGCTTTTAGGCTAGACAAACATTTATTTGATAAAAGTACTGTCCTGGCTGGACACTCAGGTTAAATTCAATAAATAGTTCTGGCAAAAAAAAAAAAAAAAAAAAAAAAAAGTAGAGAAGAAATAGAAATTTTAGAGTATTGTGTTTCAGCATTTCCAAGAGATTTTAAAATTTTAACTATGAAACAGTGTACCAAGACAAATTTTAATGAAACACCACCTGATAAATGATTTTATTTTTATTTTTTATTAAGTTTGATATGGAATCAAATGATTGGAAAGTTTTGATTTGGAAAAACAAGTAAGAAATTTTGTTCTAAATTTGGACAAATGAAACAAGTCTCTTGAGTTGAGTAGCACTTAGACCAGTGTCAATCCTTTTAAATATTCTTTCACAATTGGTGTCTACTCAAAGTATTTAAATCAAGTATATTTATGATTCTGGTTTTGTTTTGGTTTGGTTTGGTTTTCAGGTGAAATTGCATTATATGATAGTTAAATTGCATTATATATAAATAACATGGATTTCCTTATTACAGACTAGGAGAAGTCAGCATACCAGCAACCATTTTCACTGCTAGAATAAGTAGACACAACTTTACTGAGATTTGTGTGCTGTCTAACTTTTATACTAGTGATGAATTTATCCAGAATTTCTATTTAGGATTATAGGCTTTCTGGAGAGGGTTTTCCTCTAACTCAAATTATAAAATGTATGCATGAATAGGCCTTACCTATTATGTACTGGCTGTGCACATTTTTTGCTGAAGATGTGCACTGAGAGCATGTGAGCTTCCTGCTACCCTTCTGAAAGAATTTTGGCAGGTAAGGTATTTAATCCTCCTCTGCTTTCCAGCAGGACTTCAAATTTTGGATGAGAAGGCATCTTGTCTTGGAAAAACCTGTAGAATAAACAAATTCCTTGGTCAGAAAATGCATACCTTTCCTCTTACAATGGCTTTATCTAGTCGATTTCTCTAGTTGAAATAAGGAAATTATATTAACTGAATTAATTATATTAAATGTATAACGAAAATGGGTTTATTGATAACTGGACAATTGCCAACCAAACTGTAGTAGAGGTACAGATCTCTGTCAGTTTTTTTGCATCTGTAGTGAAGCACCTAGTAGGCTAAAGGGAATCAAAAGCCTTAATGAATTTAATTACTATATTTCATAATGTCCCTTTACTTTTAAGGGCATTTGAGTATGGAATAGCTCTGTTCATTCTGTTTTCACTGTGTCTCTTTTCATAGACATGTTTTTTGAGGCTCTGTCCAAGTATTTGCCATCACATATTGTAATGGCAAAAACCTGGTTTCATCACAGTATGATGTGTTAGAGTGTGAACATATGGGTGACCTTTGGCTTTACTGTGTGTTGAATCTAAAGTGGGAGTGTGCCTTTGCAGGTGGTAGACATCATGAGAATGAACGTGGACAAGGTGCTAGAAAGAGACCAGAAGCTGTCAGAGCTTGACAACCGGGCAGATGCATTGCAAGCAGGTGCCTCACAGTTTGAAACCAGCGCAGCCAAACTGAAGAGAAAATATTGGTGGAAAAATTGCAAGGTAAGGAGTATAAGGATCTCTTGTTAAGACATTACCTTCTCTTGCATGTATTGGGACTTTGTTTGTAAGATGGGATCTTTAAATGGTCTTTTATCAAGGGGAGAAGTAAGTGCCTTGCCCTCTATGTTGCATGACCACAAACCACTGTGAGAAGTGAGGAAATGATAGTGTCTTTTAAAGTGGGTTAGATTAGGACAGAGCAGATCTTGAATCAACCATCTGTCTTCCCTACTGTCCTCAAAGTCTCATTCTTTCCCTTAAGCTGAGGGAACCACTCTCTCCTCTGCCATTTCAGACCACTTCCACCAGCAGGATATGAATATTGTGGTAAAAGTTCACCTTATTTCCCATTTTTCTTCAACAATATCTTTGCTGCTGACTACTGATGGCCACTCAAATAATATAACCTGTTCCCAAAGGAGAATCCAAAATGCATTTTTATTAATCTGTTGTTGCTTGCTTTATCTCTTCAGTCCGCAGTGCTATGATGTGTAAAGCAAGGCAGAATATTCTGTTTAAACTACATACACAAGCACTCCAGAATGAAGTAGATCTAGGTTAGAAACTCAGCTAAGCAGTTTCTCTGGGCCTATTCTAAACTGTTACCCAGTTGTTTTGCCCAGGTATGCAGGAAGCAGAGCATTCTGGACCTACAGACCCAGATTTTTAACTAGGTTCACCCACACTGAATGCAGTCACTATAGTGATCTATACCACACTAGACCTTCAAACCAGCTCTCATTCTCCTTTCATTCTCCTTTTCTCTATATGCTGACAAGCAGAACCCTTCTTTCTTTTCTATGACTTCCAGTCTCCATTAAGTAGGGAGAGTAATAAATAGATTTCCTGCAAATCAGCAATTTTTCTGTCCTCTAGACTTGTGTTGGGAGGAATGAAGATCTTGATTCGAAATGTCCATGTTTTTTAAGTTGATATTATTCTTCTCATTCTCACTGGGCTAATGATGTGAATTGGACTGCAGCATTTCTGGTGCCCTCACTAGCATCCAGCAAATCTAATATAGGGCCTCTAACTCAGTGCTGGTACATGTCTGTGCACAGCTGGCCCCTGATGAATCTGCTCCTTCCTATCGAGTAAGACATTTCTAGGCTAGTGTGCTGGAAACTGTACTGGCTAGCGTGGGCTACCTCTCAACAGCACAAGTACACAAAACCAGCAAAAATAACTGCTAGAAATCAGACATCTCCAGCCACCTCTTTCCTGACTAGGGAAACATGGTGAAAAGTGGTCAAGATACTCTGGTATAAAGTGGTACCTAGATCAAAGAATCTCCCAAGTTAGAAGGGATCCACAAGAATCATTGACTTCACTTCCTAGCTCCACACATGACCTCCCAAAATTCCAACTATATGTCTGAGAGCGTTGTCTAAACACTTCTTGAACATCTTCAGCATGGGGCTTTGTCTACCGCCCTGGGAGCCTGTTCCCATCCCTGGGAGCCCAACCATCTCCTTAGTTTCGAAGAACCTTCTCCTAACTGCCACTCTTAACCATGTGTGAATCCAGCCAGAGGGAATACATTTGCTTAAGTCATATCTGGAGTTGTATTACTTTAGAAGTCTATTTTTACTGCTGGAAATGGACAAGTTTGGTCATTGCATCTTAGCTGATGAGCAAGAATTTGATAGCTTTGACAAGAGGATAAGTCCATTGCTGGAGGTCAGCTCTTCCTAGAATTGATACCAAGTCTGGGGCCTTAACAAGTCTTCTACACTGAGTTTTTGCAAGAAGAAAGGGCACACAGAAAGGGCTGCTAAATAAAAGCAAAAAACTCTACCACTGTATTTCCTCCGAAAACCTGACTTTTTTTTTTTCTTGTAACTTTCTTTTTATAGATGATGATCATCCTTGGCGTAGTATGCACAGCCATTCTCATTATAATTATAAGTGAGTAATTCATTTTCTCTTTCATTTATGATCTGAATAGCTCTGTCACTTGTGAAGTGCTGATGTATTAGAAAACAAAACAAAATTTAAAAGGATATAAAATATTTAAATAGATTAATTTGTGAAATTCCCCTTCAAGTGTCATGCTGTTACAGTGAGAATTACTGCAAGCTCATTAGACACATATAGGTAGAATTTGTTGATGTTTAATGTATTTTACATTAGCTTATTATGTAACTTTCCCCAGGATTAAAGGCTCACCCTATTCATGTTTATATACCTTTTTTATGCAGTCTCAGATATCTTAATTAGAATCAGGGCTACAGACATAGTTGTTTCTAGTGAGAACAGTAATTGTTGAATTAGCTCATACCTATCACTAGGAGAGTGAAGGCCCACGTGGCAAATGGGCATCTAAAGAATTTCCTAGTTCCCACCAAATCAGTTGGAATTTGAGATGTTGCTGCTTCTGAAAATCTCTTTACATCATAAATACTTAAATATTGGTAAAAGATGGTGCAAAGACATGTTGCTTTAATGTCTTTAAAGATCATCTCATTTTACATATTTATTGTAGGAAAGATAGCATATAAATGAATAATGGCAGTCATGCTGGTTGGGAGCCAGGGATCTCGTAATGACAGGAATTAAACATTTTATTTATGTAACCTCTGGGTTAGCAACAGCCGTTACATGACATAACAGTAACATGGCATTAACTCCAAAGAGGGAGATTTCTTGAGTTAGATGATGCAGCTGGTGAATTCAGAAGTGATTCACCAGGAGGCTACACTGTGGATGGGAATTAATTCTCAGCTCTCAAATTACATGCTTCACCTTTGACATGTTTCCATTTTCCCGTTACTTCTGTAAAGGAGGCTTACAGAATCACCTGTAAACATAACTAAATGGATTGAGATACACGTGGAAGTTTATTAGTCTTATGAATGCTGGTACCAGAGTGACCCAGAATGATTGTAGGGTTTCGTAACACTAATGCAGCAAGAATGAGAACTGGCTAGATATTAATTAACTATATTAACCAGGTACTCGAGGTGAGTGGCTTCGAGAGAAAGATAGGCCTTTGTTCTGAAATTTAGTGAGCAACCTGAGAAGACAGATGTGCAGCCACTGAATTGCTTGCTGTGTATACATGTATGTATCATTGAGCACTCTATATCTTAACAAGAAAGTAAAAAACAGACAAGATAGCTAATGATTTCTCCTTAAAAGTTACATCTGAAATTATATATAAGTAATAACATTGTTTTTCTCCTGGTTTTAAATGCTGAATGCCTGCCTTAATAAGTCTGAAAACAGAAGTAGCAAGTTTGACATGCTTAGGTTGGGTTCAGGGTATTTAATCACAAATGTGAGTGTTACATCATCAAACCGGGGTCATGACTCTGTATATTGAACTCAATGGTGTCTTCATTTACAGCAGTTCTCAAGTATATATGTAAATTCAGTTATCATAAAGTGTCCAAGTGGCTGCCAGAGACAAGGCATGTAATCAGTGTGAAGTGAACAAGATATCTGCAGTGCCGGGCTGGTTATAGACACAGATAAATTGGGTAGTTCCTCACAGTGACAAAGCAACAAACTACAATTGGTAATGTGATCCAAGCTGAGCTACCTTTCATCTTGGTACTGAGGCCCTGGAAAAGTAGGCTGGCTGCCCAAGGAACATTTACTCCATGTGAGACTGCAGGTATTGCTGGGGGGGGTTGCTCACATCAACATCAGTTTTTGTCTTTTCTATTTCTGGAGCCACAGTTTCCCTGCTTTCCACTCCAGTTCTCCCTTTAAATGCATTTTGGGAGGGGAGTCTCAGCTCTGTTCCAAGCAGGAAGGCACACTGTTAAACCCTGTGCTCTTTCAGCAAAAGATGTGCTACAGGTATTTGCCATCCTCAGATAGAACAAGCTTCTGTGAGATGAAGCACAATGGTAACTCTGTACTAACCGATGTTGTATGTCTTATTTTTTCCCCTTCTGCTTCCTTTCTCAGTTTATTTCTCCACTTGAAAAAATGAAGAAGGAAGACTTGGCACAACTTTGTTCGTATCAACCAACAATATCAGTGTTCCTTTGTTGAACTCCGCTTTTTAATTCCTGGTGTCTTGGGATTTTTGCTTCTAATAACGTATAAGCATTCAGTGTGGTGTGTTTTGGAATTCTGTTGTTTCCACAAGAAACTGTACCAGCTAAATACTGCCAAGTAGTTCCATACACTGTCTTATCACTGTGTCTTAAAATGTGCACACACTGACCTTCAGAAACTGTAGTATATGAAAGCATCCTAAATATCTCAGAAATGCAGAATGCAGCTGTAGGAGAGTTCCTACATAAAGGGACTCTGTCAGGTGAACTGGATCCAAAATTAAGGTTTCAGCAAACATGAGGGCCAAAATTCTTAGTCTGAGTACCTAAAGTTGTGTGGCAAAATCCACTATCAGATGCAGCTTTTTGAGGTAGCAAGTGTCTGCTACACTGGAGAATGGTACTTGCAAGTATTCATAGAATGTATAAAACATCTCTACTTAGCCAACTAATCACATATGTTTTTGAAATTGTGATATCCATCTAAAAACATTACCTGCAGAAAATAAATACGACTGCATTTTATGGATTTAAATTTTCCCTTGCAGTATGTTCTGAGCAACTAAGATAGCCTCAGTGTGAAAGACAGAAAGAAGACCGTACGACAACCAAAAAATGTTAGCTAGCATGATCTTGAAAAGTGAAATGCAAAATTGGTAATACAAGCACCATAAATAACCAAGATGCAGATTCTTGCTAAGAACTGAAGGTAGTGTTTGTCACAATTCATTGAACTCTCTTGAATGACAAACTCCAATACTTACAGCTCTAACTTGAGTATATGAATGACTTTGGTGAAATCTGTGGCTTCCCATTACAACTGTAAGAAGCTGCTTCTACACCATTTTGCAGAAATGGTTCCCTTTGTGAGGATCAGTTAAAAATCGGGAAGAGGAGGATGCAGTAAACAGAAGGAACTGTGGGGACAGAGGCCAGGGAATGGAAATTGGAGGGTGCCTAACAAAGCCTTCTTTGAGAAGAGGAAGGCAGAGAAACACTGTTATAAACTGGAGGTGTTAGTAGGCTTACTTACAATTTAATTTGTGTTTGTATAGTTTATAAGCTATCTTATAAGCTATCATCTTAATAAAGTACTCAGTTCAGATATTTTTCGTACTTAAACCAACATTTGATACAATTAAAGGAAAAGATATATTGCATTTGGGGGGAAAGTTGTATGCTATTGTTGTAAGGTTAAACCCAAGTGTTTGATTTCTACTTCTTCATTTTAAAATACTGCAGTTACCAATACCAATTATACCAATTTTAAACTTACCTATTTAAACTAGAAACGAATTTTCAGATTTTAAGCCAGGCAATTCTGACAGCGCCTTTTTAAGATGAGATCTTCAGAATTTCTAAGAATTCTAGGTTTTTTTTGTTTGTTTGTTTGTTTTTTGCCTGCAACTCTGTTAAGGCACATAAATAGCTATATTAGCAGATATGCTCATTGAAGAGCATCTCCCTTGACATGATCTTAGACTTAAAAGAAGAGAGAACCAGACAAGTTCATTGCAGTAGATCTTAAGTAGAATTTTGTGGAGGGAAAAAGCAATTAGTTGAATGGTTCCAGCTGCATTGCTTTTCTATATATTTATTACTTCATTTTCACGTGTATTGTTTCATATTGTTAACTAGCAGGTGGCCATGGTCGTAATAAAAGTAACCTTCAAACATTAGTAACTTTCAAAGTTTCTGATGTGCTACTGGTATGCCCTGCTTGCTTCAGTTCATCAGCTAAGTGCATGAACTATTCTAACATCCTCATGGATTGGACAGAAAATTATGCTGTCAAATTAAAGGGTCTGACTTTGTGAAATGCTATTATTGTGTGTAACTGAAACTTTTCTGGAACAAGAATAAGCTATCCAACTTCA